TATATATATATATATATATATATATATATATATATATATATATATTCATATATATGGGATTAATTAGATATATGTGATATCTATATTCATTCTATCAGTTTTGTTATTCTAGAGAACATGACTAATACAGTGATTAAACAAAACGCTTAGTGAAACAGCTAGACACAAAAGGCTGTGCATTGTGTAGTCTCATTGGATTAAATACCTCACACAAGTTGGTGCAAAGTGGCAGAAAACAGGTTAGTGATGCAAGGACTAAAGGGAGAGGTGTGTGGCAAGCAGGCGCCTGGCTGCTCAGGGGCTTCCGTTTGACTTATGAAGGTGTTTTGGAACTAGATACAGGTGATGACTTTAAAACATTGGATAGTTATTTAAACGGTTCATGCTTATATTAATGTGAGTTTTACTTTGCTGAGACATGAGCTAACGACAAGAAAAAAAATAAGGGCTGGATTCTTCCCATCATGTCAGACCGATTTTATGGTTTTAATTTTATTTATTTGAAAATTACATGTATTTGTTTATTTGGTGTGTGCGAGTGGTTAGGCTTCAGTGGGTGGGTCTCCTGGAGCTTGCTGAGTTCAGACTACAACTTGCTGGAGTCAGTTCTAGCTTTTGTCATGGGAGCTCTGGGTTTTGAACCTGGGTGGTTTAGCTTGATAGCAAGCGGATTCTCTCACTGAGCCATCTCACCAGCCTATCATTTTAGTTTTAAAACATGCACAAACCTTTGGTGATCACGGTACTGGCATTTCGTGAGAGGACCTGCTAATTAATTTCCCCATGATTTTCTCCTCTGTGATTCAGATCTCGGTCCAAGGCTTCAGGAACATTGCCAACAGCTGCTCCGGAATCAAGCATCTGACCATCAATGACATGCCAACTCTGACAGACAACTGTGTAAAAGTAGGTGGTGAGAAAACGCCTTCCCTGTCCTTTACATGAGTCCACATTTTAATAGCCTGGACTATTGAAAAATGTGAGCCGACTTTTTATTTCAATTGATTGATAGCTAGGAAACCACTTAAATATCTACACATACACACATGGGCACCTTAAAAAAAAAACATTTGAATGCTTAAGTACTTCCTGAGGTTATAACCAAAGCACAATTTTAATTTCTCCCAGATAACCACAACCTAGGCCCAGCCCTGCTTGGCGTAAATCCGATGCCCCATGTCAAATTGCTGATTGACTGAGAGGACGATTTTCGGCATTTCATTTCCTCATATTTTCCCCATCCTCCAGTAATGTGATTTGATTTTCACTTCTCTGTGAGCATACTGATTTCTTCAAATATGAAAACAATCCTATCTGTCTGTTTCTGAAGATATCGGCAGGAAATGACATCATCCCCTCATTGTTTGTGCTCTGCAGCCGTTGTCTGTCTCCTTTTGTCCCTCTCCCGAAGGTTTTGGTGGAGAAGTGTTCCCATATTTCGTCCGTGGTTTTCATCGGCTCGCCACACATCTCTGACTGTACTTTCAAAGCTCTTTCCGCCTGCAACCTCAAAAAGATCCGATTTGAAGGTCTGTGATACTGAAAAAAAAAATGTGATTTATCCTTATTATTAAATTTTATTCCCTGGGCATTTCAACATGGTACTTGTGTTTTCTTCTTCTCAACAGGAAACAAAAGGATTACTGATGCATGCTTTAAATATGTAGACAAGCATTACCCAAGTATGAATCACATTTACATGGTGGACTGCAAGGCGCTAACAGACAGCAGCCTCAAGTCACTTTCAGGTCTGAAGCAACTGACAGTGTTGAACTTGACGAACTGTATACGGTAAGAAGTCATCCGGCGTGTTATCAACTCAGGAGTCAGGAAATGTTGATTACCTAGGATGAGCCTGTCTCTCTCCACAAAGTGAAAGAGGGGATCATGACAGTCAGGGGTCCAGTGTTACTGTGTAGGTAAGGTGTCTGTTTTGATTGATGGACTAAGTCATGCCATCACTTTTCTACTGCACCTTTACCATAATGCATTTGTTTTTAACCATATGCATGCCCAGTTATGCACAGGCACAAGATACTAAACAGGACGTTCCCTAAAAGTTCACTGGAGAGCACAATTCTGCCTTATTGCACACTCTCCCAAAACCTGTTCAGTGGGCTCAGCCTATTTTCAGACTGTATACATTGGAAATATATTTGAGTGGACACTGTCTACATTGGATTATTCTTAGGGGGAGGAACAACCTATACTATTTCTCAGAGAGAGGTGTTCAAGGAGCTCAGTGTGGGTGGGACTCCAGGGAGACCTTGGATACAGTGAAAATTCATCCAGGACCTTGAGTCTTGCTTCTCCCTGCTCTCAAATCTGTGTTGTTAATAATTATGCCACCTAACTAAACAAATGAGCACTGATAACATTTTGTGAATAGCTCTCCTATTATTATTATCATCTATCCATATGCTATTTCATTAAGAGCTATGCAAATCTAAACATTTGACAAAATACCAGTATGTAGATACTTCCTCCTTTGGAATGTATTTGGTGTAGACACTGATGTGACCACCAGTTTGTATATGAGATCTCTCCCTGTTCTCTGCAGGATTAGTGATTTTGGCATGAAGCAATTTCTCGATGGTCCTGCGAGTATGAGCCTAAGAGAGCTCAACATGACGAACTGCTTTCTCCTGAGCGATTCTTCCATCATAAGAATGTCAGAGCGGTAGGACGAAGCGACAATGCCTGTGCTAGAACACGAGCTGGTTAAGGTTGCTCATAGGAGTGATCAGAGACAGGCCTCAAAGCAAAGAGGCCGCTCCCTTTCAGCACCTTAGGCATGCAGAGAAGCTGGAGTAGCCCCCACCTGTTGATGTCCTCAGGCTGAACTAACCTCCTACGGCTCTGAGTTGCTTCCTCTTGTGGTTCCCTAGGTTGAATCCTGAAATGGAGAGAAGGATATGTAGATGTGTGTGACTTCTCTGCACTTTTCAAGGATACTGTCCCCAGCGTAAGCCTTACTCCAGGGTTCCCTGAGTGCTGTTCTGGCTGACTGATTTAATCCTGATGCTCCTTGCTTGGCCAGGGCCTTCTGTTCACTGAGGGTTGGACTCAGCTCCTGGGGAGAAGTGCTTGGCCTTGCACCTCTGGTGGCTATTCTTGAGGCTGTTTCCATGGTGGTGTCTCATGCTATGCTAGATGTGCTAAACTGTGATGAGTGCTTTGCTTGCATTGTTAGAAATCACAGTGTGACACTAAATCAAAGACAGCCTCCCATGTTCATCTTACCTTCCTTCCGTCCAGCTTTATAATGCCAAAATATTAGCCAGATGTGGTGGCCTACACTATAATCCCAGCACTTTCAGGCTGAGGCAAGACTACTGCCATGAGTTCAAGGCCAGCCTAGAATTACATAATGGGTTCCAGGCTTGTTTAAGGGATAGAATAACACCCTGTATCAGCAAGACAAACAGACAGCTTGTTTTCTACTTGTCCGTTTGCATTTATCTTGCCCACCTGCCAGAATTCTGTTTTTACTGAATAGAGCACAGAGTTTTGGGGTTTTTAAAATCTTCTTAAAAAAATATTTATTCATTTATACTCTGCTTGCATGTGTGCCTTTACACCAGAAGAGGGCACCGGATCTCACCGAGGTGGTTGTGAACCACCATGTGGTTGCTGGGAACTGAACTCGGGACCTTTAGGAAGAGCAGCCAGTGCTCTTAACCTCTGAGCCACCTCTCCAGCCCTGTCAGTTTGCATTTATGTTGAGAAAAGTCAAAACCTTTTTTTTTCCCACACCATTTGTTGTCCCCAGAGTTTTTAATGAAGAAATTGGTATTGCTGATGTGTTTAAGAGCTCCGATGGTAACTTCATGGCCTCTTCTTCCAGCTGCCTTAATTTACACTACTTGAATTTACGAAACTGTGAACATTTGACTGACGTGGCAGTTGAACATATCGCAGGCATGTCATCCCTGATATCAGTAGATCTTTCTGGAACATCCATCTCAAATGAGGTAAAGAAAAAATGTAAATATACATGTAAACCTATGTATATATATTTAATAGTCCAACGGTTTAATTTTTTTTTTGTAATATCATTTTCTGGTTTGCAAGAAAATGTAGAGAACAATATTTTTATATTACAAATGGAAATTTTAAGAATAATGTTCTCATAATAGTGATAAATGATGTTACCTGTAAATTATCATGTTTGTTTGAAAATAAAATAGAAAAAAAAAAATCCAGTATTTGGGGGAAAGGCATGACAGACCAAAGTACTACATAATGGTCTGAAATTTGCTGTAACATTCATTTGATCTGTGTGGCAATGATAGAATTTAGGCAGCAGAGTGTATTTTTCCTGTGATTTTTCACACTCTATAAACTGTGTGAATGCTTTGATTGCCACTCCGCCAAGATCAAGGCTGTCCAGCAGCCCCAACACTACCTCATTTCCTCATCCCACGGGGGAAGGTGCTGATTGATGGGTGTTTCTGAAAGACCTTACCTGTATATGTAAGCAAGAACTGTGCAGGCTCCTTTCAACAGTTGGTGCCTTAGGAGAGAAAGACAGCAGAGGAGGGGCTCCTCTGCCAGCTGCTTGCTAAATCCCTATTTAAAGACCAAAACCAACTGTCACCTGTCTGAGACCTTTTCTGAGAAGCCCCGCGTTTGGAAGCAAGCCCTGGAACGCGCTACACAGTCTGTAGCCCAGGTGCATCCGTGAACAACATCCGCTTCCCCCAGGCGTCCTTCCCCAACATTCATTCAGCTAGATGAAGGATGAAGGATGAAGGATGTGCCTATTCACCGGTCTAGGTCTTTTCTTTGTTTCCTTGTAAGTGTGCCTACACCCAGCCTTCATTCTGTTAGATGGTTGCCTCTCCCCTTCAGAGTGTCAGAAGGAAGTGGGGGTGTGGAGCAGTTATATGTCATCAGTTCCTCGTGGTGCAGTTAGTATTTAGACCTCTCTGTGATGCCTTCCGTGTACGCAGGAATTGATGTCTTAATTCGTCTCTAATGGGTCTCTTTCATCCCAGCTCTAAGGCCACTTCTCGGGGCTCCTCTGAATCCTGCTAGAGTATGGTGACCCTGTGAGTCTCTCTCAGGGCCACAGATAATCTCCCATCATGCCTGTGTTTGCCCACAGTCCCATGCTTCCAGCCTCCTCTTGCTTTGCTGCAGAGTGGCCGTGAGCTTGGTGTTCCTGGTAAGGCACTTGGGAGAGGGCCAGGGTTTCCTCTTCCTCCTTTGCATTGTCTTCACCTGACTTCCTGTCTGCTCTGATTCCTGAACAGCCCTGCTACGGTTTCAACTCCCTGGGTTACCTTGACCCCTGAGCTCTGATAACTCCGTTTCTTCCCCTTGTCTCTGCATAGGGGCAATGAGCCCTGCCTTGGCTTCTATTGCTGGTTAAAGTCGGATTGCATCTGCGCACTGAGCTCCTCGTTTTCTCTGCCGTCTGAGCATCCAGTTATTGGTTGACATTCACTTTCCCCAGGTTTTTTTTTTTCCCCAAAAAGTTTATTTTTATATAGAGATGTTTCCCTTGCATATATGCCTGTGCGCTACGTGGATGCCCAGTACCCACAGAGGGCATTGGATCCCCTAGGGCTGTTTGCCAGCTGCCATGTGGAAATTGAACCTGCGTCCTCCGAATGAGAGCTCTTACCCATAACACCATCTCTCCGGCACCAGTTTCTTTAGTTTTGAATACTTTGTAGTTCGTTGTTGTTTTTGTTTGTTTGTTTTGTTTTTTGTTTTTTTTTTTCACCCCTTTGGATCCAAACAGATTAAGCAGTGCATACTTAGAGAAAATACATCAGAGAAAAACTCTGATGTATTTTTATCCACTATACAAGGCAAGTGGAATGGTTAAGTCCCCTAAGCCTGCCTGGAGGCTCTGTCTTCCTCTGTGGAAAATCAGAGATGAGATGGTCTGGACAAGCCCACACGTGACTCAGGATCCCCCAGCTCCACGTTCCTAGGCTTCCTTCTGGCTCCTCTCCCATCCTGTCCTGTTCTCTCCTGTCCTGTTCTATTCTCTCCTGTCCTGTTCTCTCCTGTCCTGTCCTATTCTCTCCTGTCCTGTCTTCTCTCCTCTCTTGTCTTCTCTTGCCCTCTCCTATCTCCTCCATTTACTTATCTTCCCTCTCTACTTTTTCTTTCTTCCTCTCTTTTTTCTCATCTTAGTTCTCTAATTTAAGGATAAAAAAAAAAATCCCAGAATTTTAACAAATGTTATACCCTAAATCTTTTAGAACCCAGGCTTTTAAATGTAAAATCTGAGAATCTTAGCCCATTTTCTTTTGTCTTAAACCTCCTCTGGGCACATGAGTAGAGTGCCCAGATGTTGTCTGCAGGATCACAGGGTGACAAGGAGAAGAGGGTCAAACACATAATGAAACAACGACCCTTTAATTCTGCCACGGAGCTTGTCACCAGCCTGATGTGCCAGGGAAGATCTGCTGATTGAAGACAAAACCATGGGACTGATATCCAGAGAGTGAGTGCAAAACTCAAGAATATGCTCTCAAGTGCTGGCCTCTTTATTTTAATTTTCTGAAGGAAGCCTGTCATTTGAGAGCTGTAGGGAATGTCCGAGAGCCAGACTAAACATACCATTAAATGGATGAAAATCTTCTGAAGGTTTTTCCCTTCCTCTGTGTCAAGCTCCAAGTGATTGACAAGGACAGTGGCGCCACACCTGTGGGAGCTAACCTCAGTCCATCTAAAGTGAGTTAACCCTGCCCCCAGCCGCTGAACACCCGCCTGGACTGCAGGCCCGAGGAAGTGTAAATTTGATGGCAGGCTTGACACTCAGAATTTAAGTGCTGGAATGTTACAGCTAGTTACCAGAGAGGAAATGTGACCAGTTGTGCCTTTGGGTAGAGTTTGTTTTCTAGTAACGTGTTCATTTTAAATTCTTCTGAGTAGGTTTTCAGTTAGAATTTCATGCCACTCAGTTAACAGTATTTGTTATGACTTTCATGTTCGGTAACGGAACACCAGAATAAACAAGCCAGCTGGTCCTCATGCTTCCTCTTAGCACTTATATCCCACGGTGCCATGTTGTCAGGCTCAAAGGGTGTGGGAGACCAGGGAAGAAGAGCCTCCTGTGGCTCAGGGGGTTTGGGAGCACGTTACCTTCTAAGCAGAGGAGAGAGGCCATGTAAACAATCGGAGACAGCTGGTACAAGCCCATTGAGGGTTGCATCAGGACACTTGCACATGTGACAATGGCTTGGTCCTAAGGAGAGGACTGAGGGATTCTGGGCAAGGGGCAGACGGGGGCTAGAATCTTTCATCTTCTATAACTTCTTAAACATCTAACCAAGTAATGCTGTTAGTTTAACTTGGGTTTCTTGGATATGATTACATCTCCATGTGTATAAAAAGACTTTCTATTAGTTATAAGAGCTATGATTTACTGAACACCACGAGCTCCATAATTGGGGACAATTCAAGCCATTGCTCCAGCTGCCTTAGTTAGTCACTGCCATATTTGTTGTTTAAAGGAAATGTGAGTCAGAACAGTGTTCCAGGCAGAGTGCTCAGGCAGTGGTTTATGAAGACCCTTTCATTTGCACAAACTTAAAAGGATTTTCATGGAGTCCAAGACTGTGCGTGGTTTTTACGCAGGCAGTCTGTCGGAGTCCCCTCACTAGACTGAAGAATCTCCAAGGTCTGAGAGTTGCTTCCATTTATTGCTGTTTCCTAGAACTCCAGGGAAGAGTGGACAGTTGATATTTACACACTGAACAAAGGAGCAAGCATTTGGCCATGTGGTTTCTAACAAGAGCGTGACCTGTTCTCTGCAGCTTTGGTTGAAAGAGAAGGTGTGGGTTATTTTAAGTGTGTCCAATGGGCGTGATGAGTTCCTAATTTGGCCTAGTCAGGCACAGATACAAAGAAATGCATGCTCGGTCAAGGAACTCCATGCAGCCGAGTCTTGCTGGAATGCAGTGTGGAAGGGAGGTTGAAGGAACTGTAATGCTGGGCTGAGAAGTACTGAATTGAACCAGTGACAGAGTGGAACTTGGAGCAGCGCAGTCCCCCATGTTAAGAATCTCCTTGGCAGGCTGGAAAGAGGTTGCCTTAGTGACCGTTCTATAGCTGTGAAGAGACGCCAGAGAAGAGACAGTTTCAAGGTTTAGTCCATTATCACTATGGCAGGGGCATGGTGGCTGAGAGCAACATTTTAATCTGTAGGTGGGGATGGCGGGGAGGGTTGGTGGGGGGCAGGAGCAGGAAGGGGGGGCACAGGCTTTGGATCCTCAAAGCTCACCTCCTGCAACAATGCCACGCCTCTTAGTCCTTTCAAACACTCCCTGGTCACCAAGCATTCACATATATGAGCCTGTGGGAGCCATTCTCATCCAAACCATCACAGTGGGTGATTAGGAGGACTGTGGGGAAAGGAACCAAGAAGTGTTTTAGGAATGAAAGGAAGAGGAGCCTTTGCACCGGGACTCCGAACGGTGTTTAGTAGGTAAGACTGAAAGATGTTGGTGATTGACCAGTTACAGGAAATGAGAATCTGAGGGCGGGATGAGGAAGTATGAACAGTATTTCCAGTCTAGCTGTTGGGGCTGAGGAGACAGGTGAGTGGTTAAGAACACTGCCGCTCTTCCAGAGGCCCCAGGTTCAATTCCTAGTGCCTGATTGGTTCCAGGGGCGCCAACAGCCTCTTCTGACCTCCGCAGGCACCAGGCACACACATGGCGCACAGACATATGTGCAGCCAAAACACTCAAACACATAAAACAATTTTCAAAATTTGAATAAGAATGCCTCCCCCCCCATGAGCTCTCATATTGAATACTTAGTCATCAGAGGGAGTCGCTAGGAGGTGTGGCCTAGCTGCAGGAAGCACATCTTTGTGGGTGGGCTCTGAGGCCTCAGATGCTCAAGCCAGGCCCAGTGTGTCTCTTTTCACTCTCGGCTACCTCTACAGCACCATCTCTGCCTGCACGCTGCCATGCTCCCCGCCATGATGACAGTGGATTAAAAC